CATTACCGTACTGATAGACATGATGTAGCAATAGGGCCACTATGATATCCAACGGAAAGTTCCAGGACTTCTCGAGCATAGTAACCGTCTCGAGCAAGGCCCTACCGAGATCTTCATAAGTATCCTTCTTGGCACCCTTGAAGAGCGCGCGGAACGGGGTAGGCTCATTTCTGCAGACCTCCTCATAGAGCTGTGGTATCGATGCAACCCAATACTTGTCGGAGATCTCTTTAGAAATGTTCACAGACTCGTAGATATAATAGATCGGACTATTTTGACCGACCATACCATTCCCACGGATGACGTTGGCTACCACGTTTCCTGCAGTTTGGAGGGAACTGAGAGTTGCTTCTCCGTTACACTTGGTCACTTGGCACACCTGCTGCTTGATCTTGTTGAGTTCTTCTCGAAGGGTCAGAACTTCTTGTGCAAGTCTGGCTTCACTGACACTTTGGGCTAAAGCTCTTGCTTCAGTCGATATCTCTAATCCTGTGCCGGGAACAGCACCACCACAGATGAGGGTCGAACCAGAGGGAGACACGAATTCAGTTACAGAGGGTTCTTCACCGTTCGAAGCATCACTGCCGTTGTTGGTCATAGCTTACGCAACTCCAATTGAAGGTACGGAGAACCGTAGAAGGTCAATTAGAGATAGATGGAACGAAGCTGCAAACGAATGGGATTCAGCTCGCTCTAACAGTCATCATAATGCATACTACACTACGACTCTAGAATGCACGATACTTTATTCGCAGTCATCATCGATAGTATGTTCTAGTCAGCCCTCTCGCTCGCCACGCGGTTACACCGTTACACGTGGAAGGCTGTCAGATAGACCAAAAGACTCCTCTATACGCGGAGGTTATGCAAAATCGGAAAACTCGATTATGCGGACAGCTCGAAGAGATATGCACGAAAAACTTTAATGACGGAGAAATGTCCTACCCGGGAATCGAAACGGGGACCTATGTCAAATTCATTGATTGAGTCCATGGACGTGGACTCAGTGAGCTCCGCCCCTTCGTCACGAAGGGCAAGTTTATCCTCCACAATACCACACATTTGCATATCAAATCCACACATACTGTATAAAGACTAACGCAATGAGAATATATAACATCGGTTCAGACGAACGAAAGACAAACGACTGAGAAACCAACAATAATATCTTCAATGCATTCGGAAAGGTAATAAACTGTCTATCACCCCCTAGCATAGAGAATATAATAAAGAGTTTCACCCGCGATATGACAAAGACCAGTGAAAATAATTTCACGACTACTGCATATCGCCAATATTGCATTTTCACAGAGAAATACGCCACTTCACGTAAAACGGTTGAAACTCCATAATATAAACGACCATATGCACCGTGCAAATCACACAAAAAAACTGACAATAACAAACCCGTCGTTCACATATATCCCCAACTACTCCTCCATAACACAACAGACATATTAAGTCATTTAACCATGATAATAACATGTGCTCAAAAACCAACAGTAAAACCAACCCACTGAGAAGAACTAACAAAAACCAGCATGACTATTCCCAACACAATACTGCTCACAGAAAGTATCCGTCACTCTGTAGTATAACTCATGCATTGCGTGCTTACAGCACCATACGAAACTAATTGAATCGGGCAAGCGATCACATACGACGATAATAATCACGGGGCTTCATTTTACAAACGAATAAGCGTCCAACAACTGGCATTCCTCAGGACGATAGTCTCTAAAATTTTAGACAATTTCTTGTGTGATAAATCAGTACGAGATTAAACACTCCAGCTTCAATCTTCATCCGAGCACCATACGGGACACACTCCGGAACCTGAAAACAACAACAAATAAAATCAAATCCATTTGCATTCCCAATATAACTCTAACGCCCTCAATATTGAATTCAGTTGACCAATTAAACTCAATTTTCTCTCATTCACGAACGATGCTCACATCACGGCCTACAGTATTCTCCCACACCCCACTCACTTAGAGAGCTGAAACTTCTTCTTCACAGCCCTGAGTTGCGTCCCTGAATGGTCCTCATTGGTAGCTACTTGCAATAATGCACATAGTTCCTTCGCCACCACCTTCACGTCGTGCTCAGTGTTAGGACAATGTACGGCCACATGTGGCGGCCACGCTGTCGGCTTCCTCAACAACTTGTTGGATAAATACAAGGCGCCTGCCGCTAACTGACTTGCGGAATACCTCAACATACTATAGCTGATCAAAATAATTGATAATGTCGAAATTATAGGATATTATATTAAAACCAGATAGAGGTAAACATTATATAAATATTTCGCGGTTAAATAGATATATAAAATGAAATAATAGAGTTTCACCCGTGACGTGAAAAAAAGTAGAAACATATTTCCCAAGTCACTGCATACCGCCAATATCGGGGTGTCCATCGAGTACTACGCCACTTCACGTGAAACGGGTGAAACTCCAGTACATACAGTGAAACGTACACTAATGTAGCCATACAATATAGAACAGAGACAAACCCACTTACTCTGGCAATGCAAGCTCCAGACAATACTGGGATAAGAAGAAGTGCTTCTCATCGGCTTCCATGACCTTAGCATACCGCAGCAGGAAGAACATCGGCGACGGGGTAGTCATACAGAACCTGAAGCAAACACCAATACAACACTAAAAGAGGGAAGAGACACTTACCCAAGCGTGTTGAGAATGTCAACTTCCATCTCCATCACTTCATGACGTTGATAAGTCCTGTCGCATATACTGACAATGTCCTTCATCTCGGGAGGATATATATCTTCATATCTGACAGAAACACCGTCTTCTTCTCATACCACTCCTCAACCAACTTCGACTCACTTAGAAGCAATCGATAAACAAGTAACACCAACCAACTGCAGTCGTGTACGTGAGAGATTAGGACACTGCTCAAGGTAGCGATCAATCAAGTTAACCTGAAAACACACAAAATCATCAACCAAGGGAGCACCATCGATAGCTACCGTTAAGTAGAGCGTCTCAGGAACCAACTTGAACTTCCAGTGGACCTCAACCAACCAATCGATCAGAACTGCACGCATACGCTGAGTGATATCATTCTGGGTCCTCTGCATGTAGTCGCTGGACTGTCTGTATCTGAACGAACGGAGAAGATACTTTCCTCACTGGGAAACGATAGAGTCGACCTACTTTTGTTCAACGCCATTCATATTGACAAAGATAGGGTTGACATATTCCGCCACGAACTGAGGGTCGCCGAGATCCTGAAAATCGTCCCTCACTGGAGGGATGAACTCCTGAGTGAACGTCACTTGACGATCCTCTGGGGGGATGGTGTCCTTCCAGTCAATCACTGGGCTGATGGACTCCATTCTAGCCGGTGTGGTGCCCTGCATGATAGTATCATCAAGATCGTCCCCTAATCGTGCCTTGCCTCGCGAGGCTGCGCCTGTTGTCATCCTGCAAAACCAACCAGAATCACCACCAAGACGAGACTCACCCGTGTGAGCAGGCAGAAAGTTCGAAGTGTTGCTGAGGTCCATGAACACCTCCCGTTTACGGGTTTCCATCACAGCATGACCCTCCTTCCCAATAGGGACGTTTTCAGACTGCTGAGAGTGCTGTGAACGGTTGCTAGAGAGCATAATAGATAGAAGTTGTTTGTTAGAGTCGATATCGACCACTGTTGCGAATCGCGCTCGCCCTCAAAAATCGATCATTCTTGCAAAGTGCATGTATGATGCAGAATGTCGTCAACAAACACTACGTTCCTTAATATAATCAATTACCCCATACTACCTTACGATTATTTAAGGGACAGTTTCACAATCCTATCGCATTCCTCAGACGTGAGGAAGTCGTCGAATATCATCAACAACGGCTCATTCAAGGGGGAGGACGGCTCGAGGGAAGACGATTTCATCAGAAACACAACTAAATCAATTATGTAGAAGTTGCATAAAAGTACAGTGTGTGTTAATCTGATGCGCAAATATGTGTTGTTTTCTGATATTAATTGCGAAGCGAGCGGAGCATATACCGCAACAACGGGCACTTTCACGTTGTGCGTGCGTGCAGAATTATTCTGACTTGACTACGAAGCGTGGAAGGTTGTCAGATAGACCAAAAGACTCCTCTATACGCGGAGGTTTTGGGCAGAATCGGAAAACTCGATTCTGCGAACAGCTCGAAGAGATATGCACGAAAAACTTTAATGACGGAGAAATGTCCTACCCGGGGATCGAAACGGGGACCTACGTCAAATTCATTGATTGAGTCCATGGACGTGGACTCAGTGAGCTCCGCCCCTTCGTCACGAAGGGCAAGTTTATCCTCCACAATAACACACATTTGCATATCAAATCCACACATACTGTATAAAGACTAACGCAATAAGAATATATAACATCGGTTCAGACGAACGAAAGACAAACGATTGAGAAACCAACAATAATATCCTCAATGCATTCGGAAAGGTAATAAAATCTATATCACCCTCTAGCATAGAGAATATAAGGAATATAATAAAGAGTTTCACCCGCGATATGACAAAGACCAGTGAAAATAATTTCACGACTACTGCATATCGCCAATATTGCATTTTAACAAAAATACGCCACTTCACGTAAAACGGTTGAAACTCCATAATATAAACGACCATATGCACCATGCAAATCACACAAAAAAACTGACAATAACAAACACGTCGTTCACATATATCCCCAACTACTCCTCCATAACACAACAGACATATAAAGTCATTTAACCATGATAATAACATGTGCTCAAAAATCAACAGTAAAACCCAACTCACTGAGAAGAACTAATAGAGACCAGCATGACTATTCCCAACACAATACTGCTCACAGAAAGTATTCGTCACTCTGTAGTATAACTCATGCATTGCGTGCTTACAGCAGCATACGAAACTAATTGAATCATGCAACCGATCACATACGACGATAATAATCACGAGGCTTCATTTTACAAACGAATAAGCGTCCAACAACTGGCATTCCTCAGGACGATAGTCTCTAAAATCATAGACAATTTCTTGCGTGATAAATCAGCATTGTACACGAGATGAAACTCTCCAGCTTTAATCTTCATCCGAGCACCATACGGGACACACTCCGGAACCTGAAAACAACAACAAATAAAATCAAATCCATTTGCATTTCCAATATAACTCTAACGCCCTCAATATTGAATTCAGTTGACCAATTAAACTCCATTTCCTCTCATTCACGAGCGATGCTCACATCACGACCTATAGTATTCTCCCACACCCCACTCACTTAGAGAGTTGAAACTTCTTCTTCACAGCCCTGAGTTGCGTCCCTGAATGGTCCTCATTGGTAGCTACTTGCAATAATGCACATAGTTCCTTCGCCACCACCTTCACGTCGTGCTCAGTGTTAGGACAATGTACGGCCACATGTGGCGGCCACGCTGTCGGCTTCCTCAACAACTTGTTGGATAAATACAAGGCGCCTGCCGCTAACTGACTTGCGGAATACCTCAACATACTATACCTGATCAAAATAGAAAAAATTGATAATGTCGAAATTATAGGATATTATATTAAAACCAGATAGAGGTAAACATTATATAAATATTTCGCGGTTAAACAGATATATAAAATGAAATAATAGAGTTTCACCCGTGACGTGAAAAAAAGTAGAAACATATTTCCCAAGCCACTGCATACCGCCAATATCGGGGTGTCCATCGAGTACTACGCCACTTCACGTGAAACGGGTGAAACTCCAGTACATACAGTGAAACGTACACTAATGTAGCCATACAATATAGAACAGAGACAAACCCACTTACTCTGGCAATGCAAGCTCCAGACAATACTGGGATAAGAAGAAGTGCTTCTCATCGGCTTCCATAACCTTAGCATACCGCAACAGGAAGAACATCGGCGACGGGGTAGTCATACAGAACCTGAAGCAAACACCAATACAACACTAAAAGAGGGAAGAGACACTTACCCAAGCGTGTTGAGAATGTCAACTTCCATCTCCATCACTTCATGACGTTGATAAGTCCTGTCGCATATACTGACAATGTCCTTCATCTCGGGAGGATATATATCTTCGTATCTGACAAGAACACCATCTTCTTCTCATACCACTCCTCAACCAATTTCGACTCACTTAGAAGCAATCAATAAACAAGTAACACCAACCAACTGCAGTCGTGTACGTGGGAGACTAGGACATTGCTCAAGGTAGCGATCAATCAAGTTAACCTGAAAACACACAAAATCATCAACCAAGGGAGCACCATCGATAGCTACCGTTAAGTAGAGCGTCTCAGGAACCAACTTGAACTTCCAGTGGACCTCAACCAACCAATCGATCAGAACTGCACGCATACGCTGAGTGATATCATTCTGGGTTCTCTGCATGTAGTCGCTGGACTGTCTGTATCTGAACCGGAGAAGATACCTTCCTCACTGAGGGATGATCAAGCCGACTTACTTTTGTTCAACGCCGTTCATATTGACGAAGATAGGGTTGACATATTCCGCCACGAACTGAGGGTCGCCGAGATCCTGAAAATCGTCCCTCACTGGAGGGATGAACTCCTGAGTGAACGTCACTTGACGATCCTCTGGGGGGATGGTGTCCTTCCAGTCAATCACTGGGCTGATGGACTCCATTCTAGCCGGTGTGGTGCCCTGCATGATAGTATCATCAAGATCGTCCCCTAATCGTGCCTTGCCTCGCGAGGCCGCGCCTGTTGTCATCCTGCAAAACCAACCAGAATCACCACCAAGACGAGACTCACCCGTGTGAGCAGGCAGAAAGTTCGAAGTGTTGCTGAGGTCCATGAACACCTCCCGTTTACGGGTTTCCATCACAGCATGACCCTCCTTCCCAATAGGGACGTTTTCAGACCGCTGAGAGTGCTGTGAACGGTTGCTAGAGAGCATAGTAGATAGAAGTTGTTTGTTAGAGTCGATATCGACCACTGTTGCGAATCGCGCTCGCCCTCAAAGATCGATCATTCTTGCAAAGTGCATGTATGATGCAGAATGTCGTCAACAAACACTACGTTCTTAATATAATTAATTACCCCATACTACCTTACGATTATTTAAGGGACAGTTTCACAATCCTATCGCATTCCTCAGACGTGAGGAAGTCGTCGAATATCATCAACAACGGCTCATTCAAGGGGGAGGACGGCTCGAGGGAAGACGATTTCATCAGAAACACAACTAAATCAATTATGTAGAAGTTGCATAAAAGTACAGTGTGTGTTAATTTGATGCGCAAATATGTGTTATTTCCTGATATTAATTGCGAAGCGAGCGGAGCATATACCGCAACAACAGGCACTTTCACGTTGTGCGTGCGTGCAGAATAATTCTGGCTTAACTACGAAGCGTGGAAGGTTGTCAGATAGACCAAAAGACTCCTCTATACGCGGAGGTTTTGGGAAAGATCGGAAAACTCGATTATGCGAACAGCTCGAAGAGATTTAAACGAAAAACTTTAATGACAGAGAAATATCATACCCGGGGATCGAAACGGGGACCTATGTAAAATTCATTGATTGAGTCCATGGACGTGGACTCAGTGAGCTCCACCTCTTCGTCAGGAAGGGCAAGTTTATCCTCCACAATTACACACATTTGCATCTCAAATCCAAACATGCTGTATAAAGGCTAATGCAATAGGAATATATAACATCGGTTCAGACGAACGAAAGACAAACGACTGAGAAACCAACAATAATATCTTCAATGCATTCGGAAAGGTAATAAAATCTATATCACCACCTAGCATAGGGAATATAAGGAATATAATAAAGAGTTTCACCCGCGATATGGCAAAGACCAGTGAGAATAATTACACGACTACTGCATATCGCCAATATTGCATTTTCACAGAGAAATACGCCACTTCATGTAAAACGGGTGGAACTCCATAATAGTATGGGAATACATGTTTTCTTTTCTCAACTGAGCTCGTAAGTTTCCTCAAATCCATACGAAATCAACGATAATTTCTCAAAATTTCCATAATCCTGCCAACACATGTAGTTGACTATGTTCATATATCCCGACACTGCTCCATAATATAAACGACCATATGCACCATGCAAATCACACAAAAGAACTGACAATAACAAACACGTGATTCACATATATCCCCAAATACTCCTCCATAACACAACAGACATACAAAGTCATTTAACCATGATAATAACATGTGCTCAAAAACCAACAGTAAAACTAACGAAGACCAGCATGACTATTCCCAACACAATACTGCCCACAGAAAGTATTCGTCACTCTGTAGTATAACTCATGCACTGCGTGCTTACAGCAGCATACGAAACTAATTGAATCGGGCAAGCGATCATATACGACGATAATAATCACGGGGCTTCATTTTACAAACGAATAAGCGTCCAACAACTGGCATTCCTCAGGACGATAGTCTCTAAAATTTTAGACAATTTCTTGCGTGATAAATCAGCATTGTACACGAGATGAAACTCTCCAGCTTTAATCTTCATCCGAGCACCATACGGGACACACTCCGGAACCTGAAAACAACAACAACAAATAAAATCAAATCCATTTGCATTCCCAATATAACTCTAACGCCCTCAATATCGAATTCAGTTGACCAATTAAACTCAATTTCCTCTCATTCACGAACGATGCTCACATCACGACCTATAGTATTCTCCCACACCCCACTTACTTAGAGAGCTGAAACTTCTTCTTCACAGCCCTGAGTTGCGTCCCCGAATGGTCCTCATTGGTAGCTACTTGCAATAATGCACATAGTTCCTTCGCCACCACCTTCACGTCGTGCTCAGAGTTAGGACAATGCACGGCCACATGTGGTGGCCACGCTGTCGGTTTCCTCAACAACTTGTTGGATAAATACAAGGCGCCTGCCGCTAACTGACTTGCGGAATACCTCAACATACTATTCCTGATCAAAATAGAAACAATCGATAATGTCAAAATCATATAATATCAGATTAAAATCAGATAGATGCAAAAATATATTCCACAAGCCACTGCATACCGCCAATATCGGAGTTTTCACCGAGTACTACGCCACTTCACGTGAAACAGGTGAAACTCCAGTATATACAGTAAAACGTACACTAATGTAGCCATTCAATATAAAACAGAGACAAACCCACTTACTCTGGCAATGCAAGCTCCAGACAATACTGGGATAAGAAGAAGTGCTTCTCATCGGCTTCCATGACCTTAGCATACCGCAACAGGAAGAACATCGGCGACGGGGTAGTCATACAGAACCTGAAGCAAACACCAATACAACACTAAAAGAGGGAAGAGACACTTACCCAAGCGTGTTGAGAATGTCAACTTCCATCTCCATCACTTCATGACGTTGATAAGTCCTGTCGCATATACTGACAATGTCCTTCATCTCGGGAGGATATATATCTTCGTATCTGACAAGAACACCATCTTCTTCTCATACCACTCCTCAACCAATTTCGACTCACTTAGAAGCAATCAATAAACAAGTAACACCAACCAACTGCAGTCGTGTACGTGAGAGATTAGGACACTGCTCAAGGTAGCGATCAATCAAGTTAACCTGAAAACACACAAAATCATCAACCAAGGGAGCATCATCGATAGCTACCGTTAAGTAGAGCGTCTCAGGAACCAACTTGAACTTCCAATGGACCTCAACCAACCAATCGATCAGAACTGCACGCATACGCTGAGTGATATCATTCTGGGTCCTCTGCATGTAGTCGCTGGACTGTCTGTATCTGAACGAACGGCGAAGATACCTTCCTCACTGAGGGACGATCAAGCCGACTTACTTTTGTTCAACGCCATTCATATTGACAAAGATAGGGTTGACATATTCCGCCACGAACTGAGGGTCGCCGAGATCCTGAAAATCGTCCCTCACTGGAGGGATGAACTCCTGAGTGAACGTCACTTGACGATCCTCTGGGGGGATGGTGTCCTTCCAGTCAATCACTGGGCTGATGGACTCCATTCTAGCCGGTGTGGTGCCCTGCATGATAGTATCATCAAGATCGTCCCCTAATCGTGCCTTGCCTCGCGAGGCCGCGCCTGTTGTCATCCTGCAAAACCAACCAGAATCACCACCAAGACGAGACTCACCCGTGTGAGCAGGCAGAAAGTTCGAAGTGTTGCTGAGGTCCATGAACACCTCCCGTTTACGGGTTTCCATCACAGCATGACCCTCCTTCCCAATAGGGACGTTTTCAGACCGCTGAGAGTGCTGTGAACGGTTGCTAGCGAGCATAGTAGATAGAAGTTGTTTGTTAGAGTCGATATCGACCACTGTTGCAAATCGCGCTCGCCCTCAAAAATCGATCATTCTTGCAAAGTGCATGTATGATGCAGAATGTCGTCAACAAACACTACGTTCCATAATATAATTAATTACCCCATACTACCTTACGATTATTTAAGGGACAGTTTCACAATCCTATCGCATTCCTCAGACGTGAGGAAGTCGTCGAATATCATCAACAACGGCTAATTCAAGGGGGAGGACGGCTCGAGGGAAGACGATTTCATCAGAAACACAACTAAATCAATTGATTATGTAAAAGTTGCATAAAAGTACAATTTGTGTAAATTTGATGCGCAAATATGTGTTATTTTCTGATATTAACTACGAAGCAAGCGGAGCATATACCGCAACAACAGGCACTTTCACGTTGTGCGTCCGTGCAGAGTTATTCTGGCTTAACTACGAAGCGTGGAAGGTTGTCAGATAGACCAAAAGACTCCTCTATACGCGGAGGTTTTGGGCAAAATCGGAAAACTCGATTATGCGAACAGCTCGAAGAGATATGCACGACAAGCTTTAATGACGGAGAAATGTCCTACCCGGGGATCGAAACGGGGACCTATGTCATATTCATCAATTGAGTCCATGGACGTGGACTCAGTGAGCTCCGCCCCTTCGTCACGAAGGGCAAGTTTATCCTCCACAATAACACACATTTGCATATCAAATCCATACATAGTGTATAAAGACTAACGCAATAGGAATATATAACATCGGTTTAGACGAACGAAAGACAAACGATTGAGAAACCAACAATAATATCTTCAATGCATTCGGAAAGGTAATAAAATCTATATCAACACCTAGCATAGAGAATATAAGCAATGTAATAAAGAGTTTCACCCGCGATATGACAAAGACCAGAGAAATTTTCTCTGAGAAAATAATTTCACGACTACTGCATATCGCCAATATTGCATTTTAACAGAGAAATACGCCACTGCTCGTAAAACGGTTGAAACTCCATAATATAAACGACCATATGCACCATGCAAATCACACAAAAAAAAACTGACAATAACAAACCCGTCGTTCACCTATATCCCCAACTCCTCCATAACACAACAGACGTATAAAGTCATTTAACCATGATAATAACATGTGCTCAAAAATCAACAGTAAAACCCAACTCACTGAGAGGAACTAATAAAGACCAGCATGACTACTTCCAACACAATACTGCCCACAGAAAGTATTCGTCACTCTGTAGTATAACTCATGCATTGCGTGCTTACAGCAGCATACGAAACTAATTGAATCGGGCAAGCGATCACATACGACGATAATAATCACGGGGCTTCATTTTACAAACGAATAAGCGTCCAACAACTGGCATTCCTCAGGACGATAGTCTCTAAAATCATAGACAATTTCTTGTGTGATAAATCAGTACGAGATTAAACACTCCAGCTTTAATCTTCATCCGAGCACCATACGGGACACACTCCGGAACCTGAAAACAACAACGAATAAAATCAAATCCATTTGCATTCCCAATATAACTCTAACGCCCTCAATATCGAATTCAGTTGACCAATTAAACTCAATTTCCTCTGTCACGAACGATGCTCACATCACGACCTACAGTATTCTCCCACACCCCACTCACTTAGAGAGCTGAAACTTCTTCTTCACAGCCCTGAGTTGCGTCCCTGAATGGTCCTCATTGGTAGCTACTTGCAATAATGCACATAGTTCCTTCGCCACCACCTTCACGTCGTGCTCGGTGTTAGGACAATGTACGGCCACATGTGGCGGCCACGCTGTCGGCTTCCTCAACAACTTGTTGGATAAATACAAGGCGCCTGCCGCTAACTGGCTTGCGGAATACCTCAACATATTATACCTGATCAAAATACAAATAATTAATAATGTCGAAATTATATAATATCATATTAAAATCAGATAGATACAAAAATTATATAAATGTTTCCCGGTTAAAGATATATAATATAAAATTAACGGAGTTTCACCCGTGATATGAAAAGAAACTAGTAAAAATATAATCCACAAGCCACTGCATACCGCCAATATCGGACTTTTCACCGAGGACTACGCCACTTCACGTGAAACTCCAGTACATACAGTGAAAGGTACACTAATGTAGCCATTCAATATAAAACAGAGACAAACCCACTTACTCTGGCAATGCAAGCTCCAGACAATACTGGGATAAGAAGAAGTGCTTCTCATCGGCTTCCATGACCTTAGCATACCGCAACAGGAAGAACATCGGCGACGGGGTAGTCATACAGAACCTGAAGCAAACACCAATACAACACTAAAAGAGGGAAGAGACACTTACCCAAGCGTGTTGAGAATGTCAACTTCCATCTCCATCACTTCGTGACGTTGATAAGTCCTGTCGCATATACTGACAATGTCCTTCATCTCGGGAGGATATATATCTTCATATCTGACAAGAACACCGTCTTCTTCTCATACCACTCCTCAACCAACTTCGACTCACTTAGAAGCAACCAATAAACAAGTAACACCAACCAACTGCAGTCGTGTACGTGAGAGATTAGGACACTGCTCAAGGTAGCGATCAATCAAGTTAACCTGAAAACACACAAAATCATCAACCGAGAGGAGCATCATCGATAGCTACCGTTAAGTAGAGCGTCTCAGGAACCAACTTGAACTTCCAATGAACCTCAACTAACCAATCGATCAGAACTGCACGCATACGCTGAGTGATATCATTCTGGGTTCTCTGCATGTAGTCGCCGGACTGTCTGTATCTGAACGAACGGCGAAGATACCTTCCTCACTGAGGGACGATCAAGCCGACTTACTTTTGTTCAACGCCATTCATATTGACAAAGATAGGGTTGACATATTCCGCCACGAACTGAGGGTCGCCGAGATCCTGAAAATCGTCCCTCACTGGAGGGATGAACTCCTGAGTGAACGTCACTTGACGATCCTCTGGGGGGATGGTGTCCTTCCAGTCAATCACTGGGCTCATGGACTCCATTCTAGCCGGTGTGGTGCCCTGCATGATAGTATCATCAAGATCGTCCCCTAATCGTGCCTTGCCTCGCGAGGCTGCGCCTGTTGTCATCCTGCAAAACCAACCAGAATCACCACCAAGACGAGACTCACCCGTGTGAGCAGGCAGAAAGTTCGAAGTGTTGCTGAGGTCCATGAACACCTCCCGTTTACGGGTTTCCATCACAGCATGACCCTCCTTCCCAATAGGGACGTTTTCAGACCGCTGAGAGTGCTGTGAACGGTTGCTAGCGAGCATAGTAGATAGAAGTTGTTTGTTAGAGTCGATATCGACCACTGTTGCAAATCGCGCTCGCCCTCAAAAATCGATCATTCTTGCAAAGTGCATGTATGATGCAGAATGTCGTCAACAAACACTACGTTCCATAATATAATTAATTACCCCATACTACCTTACGATTATTTAAGGGACAGTTTCACAATCCTATCGCATTCCTCAGACGTGAGGAAGTCGTCGAATATCATCAACAACGGCTCATTCAAGAGAAAGGACGGCTCGAGGGAAGACGATTTCATCTGAAACACAACTAAATCAATTATGTGGAAGTTGCATAAAAGTACAGTGTGTGTCAATTTGCAATATTCAATGTGCAAATATGTGTTATTTTCCGGTTTCAATGAGAATCAATATGAAACTATATCGCATATACAATGTAACAACGACTATGAACATGTGTTGTGATCAGAGTACCCGTTTGGGACAGTGATAGCGACAACTTGTTCACTATGATTTATCCTCCACAATAACACACATTTGCGTATCAAATCCACACATGCTGTATAAAGACTAACGCAATAGGAATATATAACATCGGTTCAGACGAACGAAAGACAAACGATTGAGAAACCAACAATAATATCCTCAATGCATTCGGAAAGGTAATAAACTGTCTGTCTATCACCGTATAACGTAGAGAATATAAGGAATCTTATGAGGAGTTTCACCCGTGATATGAAAAAGACCAGTGAAAATAATTTCACGACTACTGCATATCGCCAATATCGCGTTTTCCCAGAGAAGTACGTTACTTCACGTACAATGGGTGAAACTCCAATGTAAACCAGGGATCAGTGAGGGGAAATATGCGCATGGTCGACCACATATGTTGGTGACAATAGGGAAATTCTGAGGGAATTTAGCAAAATTCTTGCGGGTTCCTGTACATTTCTACCCTAGTTTATCTATGAACACCTATAGTTAGTGAGTATAATCGAAGGGTCAGCTGAGGAAGGCGATCATATTTTGCAACATTGGAGCGCACACAGTCTGTATGATCGCTCCTGTCTGTATGATACAGAAGCCTTGTATTAGACTCCTTCGCACAACCGTCGCACGCGTGCAAAGAATAGATTATGAGGGCACGCGCAGTTTTAAAGTATGGGATGCAGTCTGAATGGACAGGTTTGACGAGGTGAGACTCATTTACCAGTCATAAGGGATATTTTGGTTGGAATTCGAGGAAAAATAGACCTTGGTGAAAAGTTGTTTCATGGACAAGAGTCAGGTTTTTGGATGTTTTCTCCCTTCTTACACTGGATATGAAGCTGAAAACATAGGTTTCGAAGGCGCTGAGTTAATTGGGTTTACTCTCACACGCAGGGCACACATTTTTGGTAGCCAGATGAGTATAACAGCGAAAATCAGCACCCCTAGACCTATTTATTTTCTAAAAAAAGGTGATTATGTACAACGCCCAATACTCTTGAAAGTTGTACATAGTTGTTCACCAAATGAAATTGTTAGTTTGATGGAATGGTGTGGCGGTTAGTACGATATTCTGACGATTACAAGGTCGCAGGATCGATTCCTGGTAGCCGAAATTCTATGTTTCGTCCTCGTAAGTCAGTAAGTGAGCCGAGTTATCCTAGCCTCCTTCCTGAAGGCCGTCCCGTAAGATCCTTAGCTTCCTTACTTTGAGGAAGCCTAAGTCATAACGAGGCGCTTCTCCTTTGAGGAAGACTTCCTAAGTTATAGGGCCTTCATTTTCGACAATTTGGAGAACTTTGCGACAGCTCGTGGCTTCAAGAACTTCCATATTGACGACGCAACTTAAAAAACTTCGGTCTCGACACAATGGTAACTTCTATTTCGCACGTAGAAGCATCAATGTGCAGTTGACGGAATTGAGACTTCTATGACGGAGTGCAAAGTTGAACTAGAGAGTTTTATCAACTCGGGCTTGAACTTCTATCGACCTCAGATGATTTTGAATGCTCTATGGTGGATTTGGAAAGTCTAAATGCGAATACGATCTTTTGGCATCTGATTCGCCTTGACGTAATTGACGGCTAATTGAGAACAAACAACATCTTTTCAACGCCTATTTGGAGAATAGTAACTTCTATTTGGAGGAGCGGGCGAAATGAAACTATAAGATTTTCGTTTAATAACTTCAATTTGGATGGAGGGGTTTAGGAACTCCAATTTGGATACAGTCAGTTAGGAACTTCAATTTTTAAAGTTTAGTGAAGACAATTTCAGATCTAGCTCCTTCGAATAGAAGTTACTATTCTTCAAATAGGCGTTAAAAAGATGTAGATGTTAATAAGGTGTAGTAGGTTGGACCAGCCCTAATGTACAGCATTGCTCCTACCCTATGTGGGCCCTCTGGCATCGAGACGGCTTGTGGTTGGAAAACGCATTGAGGCTGCCTGATGTGCATCTTAGTTGCTGTGGACGTCTTTCAATGTCCTCAATTGATCAACTGAGTGTTGCCGATAGTGTATGGAGGTTTTCTGTGATAATGGCGGACGAATAAGGAGACCCCAGCGTACACGCTTATACTTCATGACAGCACAGGTGATCACGAAATTGCCGATCGTTTTGGTGATAATGATATCAGTCATTCATATTTCGAGAGAGTTCACAGGCCGTGGCCGTGTGCTCTACGAAACGGGGAGGTCTACGATGGCAATTTCGAGGAGGGAGTTAGTCATGGGGACGTAAGACTGCTGTCACTCATCATGTTGAGTCGGGGCTCGTTAGCTTAGTTCCTGGTATAGGAATGTTGATGTTCATACGGATCCTCGCCAGGAGAACGGAAAACAAGGTATCGGCCGGCCGGTCTACACTGGGAAAAAGGTGTCGAATTATGACGAAGGTAGCTGGAAATTTTTTTGTACGTTATGCAGACGATGCCATTGTGCGAGGAGGTACTTATCACGGTTAGGTTAGAGAAGGCCAGAAGGATGGGAAAGGTACATTGGGGGAGATGTGAATTAGGCGTCTACCCCTATCAGGACAAAGAGGGTTGTCATTGTTTTATATGAAAGGTCTTAGGAGTGAACGACAGTGCACAGTCGGGCTATGTTCTCAACTTACTTTTTCTTGGTGCTGGGCCAGGAGGACGGCAATGCTACCTACGTTTATGATGATGTCTTCACTCGAGGGGGAATGGGAGGATGATCTCTTCTAACAGGGACGTGGATGCTTCCTAGTAGAACATGCTTCATTGGAGATTCTAAGTAGTATTAACTAGTTCTACTGAGTCTGTTGATGGTGCTGGACAGGGCAACTGGAAGACGCTATATGGACAGGGTCACGCTGTCTTGGGAAGGTACTGTTATCGCTGAGCTCACCAGCACTCATCTGCAAGGTCCGCGTCAGATGAGTCCACGTAAAACTTACGACTCTTGCTGAATCCATCATGGATTGTATGGTCACTACATGGGGTCGCGCTTGAAGAGATGTACTTGCCGCGGAACCTTTGCGATCTAGCGATATCGGAGCTCAGCAGTGGAGGCTTCCAAGTTCACGTAATCAGCCGCCAATGCACAACTCCTCGAGTCAGGCAATAACGCTGGCTCTCAAGAGGGCGCTTTTGTGATGTACATGCTATTGTGGTTGTTACTGAATATACTCTCTCTATTAGCCTCCTGTCTAAGTTGTTGAGTTCGCTGAAATCTCAGGGAATGTACTTCCCGAGATCATATCTCACCGAAAGAAATGTTGTATCCACGTCGTTGTATGTATGAGAGCGACCGAACACACGTTTTTTTTGCTTATGTTTATGAGAGGTACCTACTGCGCCAATCCGTGAACTTCGTATATTGCGGTCCTTTCATTAGTCTTGTACAATCTAAGAACCTGCAAGTAAACGCTTCGCATAGGAGACACGCTTTGTGGATTCCGTCCTGATGTCACGAGAGCTGTCCCCGACTGTGTTCGACAGGGTCAGCGTTCCTCGTTTTGAATTAGCAGCCCAGTTTCTATTATGCAATCAACTTGTCCTGACGTAGCCGACTTCAGCAAGATCTCTCATTACCCAGAGGGAGCTAATAAAGAGTTCCAAGACAAGGACAAGGATCAATTGCTAGAGTTTTTCCTTCCAAAATTTGAAGTCGATAGACCCTTGGCTCATCATCTCGACGGGCTTTTCGAGGTAGCCTTCATATGACGTTTTGTCACTTACCATTGTTACGGCTGTTGATGTCGTGGTCATATCGCTTCAGTGCCAGACCTGATTTCTGTCAGGTATTCAATCTTAACTCCGAGACAGTTTCAGTCGAAGTTGGTTCGGGTACGGGCCTTCTTACACGAGAGTTCAGTAAGCGACCTGGCAAGAAGGTGTACGCAACGGAGCTCTCTGAGGGTTTCATACAGCATCTCAGAGATGACGACAGAATAGATAAAGGCAAGGTGGAGATTATTCATAGTAAGTCTGAAGTTTTCTACGACTCTTTTGAATCGCGCATGTTGGTAGGCACCGAAGACGATTTATGTCTACCTACTGAGAGCGACGGCTCGGTTGACCTGGCAGTTCTTTGTGACGTATATCATCACCTCACACATCCACGGACTATAGTCCAGCAGCTTAAGCGATCACTGAAGGGTGAGAATCTTTCTATTAAGTCTCGACTAGAATAGATCGCGAGTTGCGATGGACCAGCGGAACCAACTCGTTCGAAGGTCATGGTGGAATTATTCTTATCTGTTTGTTTCAGATACCGGAAGATTAGTGTTGGTAGACTTCTGGCGAGACCCTAGTAAAAGCAGCAGAGAAGACAAGACTTGGGTAATCGAGCACTTGCGGGCCGATAAGGATGTCTTCGTTGAGGTGAGTCACAAAGACTTGAAATATGCACGTCAGAATTGGTGATATTTTTCTTTAGGAGATCCGATCGGTGGGTTTCGAAGTTGCCTCCGAGCCAGAGGTCGAAGGTCTCGTCGAGAACTACGTTGTGATTTTCAAGAAAGCATAAGAAGTGTAATGAGATGATTTGATCCTTATGATATGATTCCGTATGACGCAATGTTCAATTGGTTCTCGTAAAAAGCGAGCCGTGAATTTCCGAACACGGACTGGCTCCAAATATTCTTGTGCGAGTTAAGTGGGTCGTCGCGTTCAGTTCAGTATAATCGCCGCGGAAACGCTCAAAAGTGTGTCACACATAGAGAGAAAACGTTGAGGGACGAAGGTATGACCAAAGGGCTCTTTTTTGCGATGATCGAGATTACCTCATGAAATTTCAGCCCTATAGCCAGTGCAGAGGCTAGCGTCGAACTCGTTGTTGTACCAAGTAGTTGAAAATGCTTTCCTTTCACTGCGTAGTGGGCTTAGTCCGTACTAACAACCCAATAGCTCAAAGCTTGAACACGAGAAACGGTAATCAAATATCACACAACAATAAGAACACACAAACACTTTTTTAACTCTTAGCCCACGGAGCAGGTCTCCGATGAGGTTCAGGGTCGGCACGTGCGGTGTGTATCAGAGATCGCATCAGTTTATCGGGATAGCCATCGTTCAAGGGGAAGGGGCATCGGTGGTGAAGCTCTGCGCACTGAGGACACCTCGTGGAGGCCCGAGGAGCTGCTTTGATCGTAGAATAGCGCTCAAAATACGGGCAGGAGGTTTTGTGCCACCGACCGTCGTGAGCCGCTATGATGCGCTCATCTACACCACAGCCTCTGCAATATTCATAACCACACAAACATTTGATAGACTTGCTATCACTCGAGCTGGGGTAGTTGCCAAGATAAGGACAGCCTTTAGGGCAGGGACGCCAGCCACGCTCAAACTTCTGCTTCAAAGTGAGCCTCTCGTCAGAGGAAGGTCTACTCGTATCAGGCTCCCGTAAAGGCTTTGGAACGTTATTCTGGGAGGCCCGAGCGGAGTGAAGCTTGTAATATGCGCCAGGGTCGAGGCACTTCTTAAGGAGAGCATCATTGGCCTCAACCGCAATGCTGTCACCACACACGGGACACTTCAAAGATCCCCCGCCGTTATCTGAGATCTGTTTTGTCAGAGGCTCCGCCAAACAGCCTTGATGGAATCGATGGTGGCACGGTAGTCGGAAGCTCTCCGAGGCTACGAGGATGCCTCGGCAACTGCTGCATCTCACTGCCCCTTTAAACAACGGCTCGTTGACTGGAACCGACGGCTTCACCGCTCTCATTGGGTCACCCTGAGAGATAGTGTGCGACTAGCAGAAGCCTCTACATTGGTCACCTTCTGAGGTTCACTCTTGACCACAGCATTGCTACGAATGCCCGTCCGCGCAGTTGTTGGTTCCGCTTGAACCGAACCTAAATGTCCATTTCTTGTGTGAATAGCCACAGCTCGAGACCAACCTTGCCGAGTGCTTCCGCTGGCCGCGGCTGCAGCGGCCACCCGCGCTGAGAAACCACTCCAGACAGAGCGTACAGGCTCGAGGGCAGCAGGCACTGTCGACTCCAGAAAGCTGACGCCCAACCTGAAGAATGCTCAATTCTCTTCGACGGTATTGTGCCCTACCGGCGTCCTGTATGTTGAGGGCATTCGATCTCTGCAGGGGCCTGCCCGCCTCTTATGAAGGCTTCAACGCTGCTCTCGAGGCACTTCTTGTGAGCATGGCAACCGCAGGGTAGAGTGAGTTCTAATTTTCCAGTTTTCTTGCAAATGACGCAACCCTCAGCAGGCTCTTCCCCCTCCGGCTCATCAGCAGTCGCGGCCTCCGAATTCATCTCTGCATCGTCGCTGACCTCCTGAACGCGCATGTTGGTTTGCAGGAAGAGTTGCCCGAGCCTGCAAACACATGAAATCGAACGGAAATGATCAGAGGCCATCTCATGCCTGCGATTATGCCGCCAACAGCGAATGTCCTGCAACGGAGTGTTGTTCTTCTCAATAGTTTTTTCGACGAATTGCCGAAGGCATTCCTTATGGACCTTGTCGCCACACGGAGTCCGGACCCCATCTCCCTCGTCGCCCACGATTTGGCCATCTTTGTCGCACAACCCGCATACGAAAACTCCAGCTGATGCCGTTGCAGGCGTGATGGAGTTCTGAAGCTCCGGCCAGTCCATCAATGCCTCCTCAGTGCCGTCCTCAACCTTCAAATTGACTCCTTCCCCCTTGGGAGGTGTAGAGGATTCATACGCCTTTCGCAGAGCCGAGAGGTATCTGCAACAGTACACCCCTTCACACATTCCTAGCATACCCGGTTCTCCGACTTGTGCACAGTCAGCTCAAACAGTACCATGTTGCGGCTCAGGGAGGTATGCTCTCATTCTACATAACAAGTTTCAGGGCCTAACTCTTCGTAATTAGTGAGATATCGAAAAGTTATAAAAAAATTTCCTCCACAAATTCTCAGCTGCATGTACAACGAGAGGAACCAGCATGAACGGCGTCAATGTACCATACTTCGGCATCTGCGTATCGGCGTCGGACTCCTCGCGACCTGACAGAGGCGGTACCGGCCTCTCATCGTCCATTGGGTCTTCGGGCATGGCACTAAGCTGTCGTTGAGCCTCTCCCAAATTCTGCAATGAAAAATTGCTAGGAGTCTACTGAACACGTTTTACCTTCAAAACGTTGCGCATCTCTGTCAGTTCACAGCGAGCATCTGCTGGGTTTGCATAGGGGGATGGCCGAGCACGAGCGTCCAAGCGGGGTAGTAGTTGGTCCACTACACTGCTGAGGTAACGAGACTGGCCCCAGAGGGCATGATATTTCGAGAGGACCTATCAGGAAGACACAAATGAGGTGAGAAAAGTACATGCTTCACGCTCACTTGCTGCATGAACCCCTCGAATTCGTTACTGGCGCTAGGCTGCGGTGGCCCCTGGACGGGCACTCCTGCGGGCACAAGGGTAGCGTCGTCTATTATGGGAAGGATAGAGTATCTCTCCGGCTGAATCGGTATGAGTAGTTCGTAGTGGCCAGGTTGGAATAGGAGGTGGACTTGAGGCTCCTGAGGGCAGCGAAGGTCCAGCTCCCCCTAGGACCCGTAACTCACTGAAGTGCTGCCGCTGTAGTCGATGTTGTGCAGGGCTGTGCGGTCTCTAAAAAAGGTAAAGATGAGGGAAATCCGCGTTGGGAAGCATGTGCCACCTGTGGACCATTATGATCCTAACGCAGCAATCCAATGCCCTCGGAGCCGCAGCCTGGACGAGGTCCGAGGCGTCCTCTTCCATCACAAGGACAGCTGACTCTATGAACCCTCCGGGGCCGTCGATACCTGGATAAGAGCCATGACCCTTCAGCTACCTGGGGCCCTCGACCGACCAGCATCCATCAGCCCATTGGCCCACTGGTCCCAAGTGAAGGAGCAATCAGCATCAGCACCGGCAGTGCAAGGGTCCGACTTGTGCCGAGATAAATAATCCGCTACCAGCAACCGGATGGCGGCGACAAAGGCTTGGTCTATAGCAGGGGTATTCAGTGCGCGATGTATCTGCATAGTATTGGTGGGCCCCTGCGCCCTTCGTCGAAGTATTACCTCTGTGAAAATGCTCTTCTCCTCAGCTGTATTCCCAGCAGCAGTCTCCAGCCTGACCCGCCACGATGGGAGCAGGACAGCAAGAACCCTATAGGAACCTGCCAGGCCACAGATGAAGTCGTACGAGTTCGAGATGTATACAGTGTGGACCAAACCGTTATGCAGAATTATTCCTCCTCAGATGACTTGATTGCCGTTGACAATATTGTGACACTCGAAGACTCAGAAAGTTAACTCATTGGAGTTTCACCCGTGATATGAAAACACTAGTGAAAATATATTCCACGACTGCGTTTTTCACCGAGTGAAACGCCACTTCCCGTAAAACGAGTGAAACTCCATTGTACAGTCACTATGAAATGCGCTATGGAGAGTTTCCCCTTATTACCAGCGAACATAGGATGGTTCCGTCCTTTATCAGTCATAGCAGCTAGCTTCTCGACAAGACCTGTCAGTGCTACTGGACAGAAGAGCGCCGAATACTCCACAAAGCCATAGGCCAAGGCTCGGTAGTAGCAGTTTCCGTCTCCTCTGACGGTACGCCAATACCGATAGGAGAGGACCAACTCCGAATATTGGGCGAGGAGGTTAGGATGGCCACTCGAACTGCTCTGGTCCTCAATACGTCCATCGAAGGTCGTTGGCGAGCCAACTAGTATCTAACTCCCAGCCCTCAGACCCAGTCGGAGCTGCTAGTACTACTACTACTACTACTACTACTACTACTACTACTACTACTACTACCCCTTCACTGCCAGGATCAATGACCGGCATTGGCTGCCGCATAACTGCCAGCTCCAAGGCTTTGGGGAGTGCAGCGTCTGAACAGCACAATGAGTCGGGATTGAGGGCTCGCCTATTACCACTGGACGAAGGCCTCTCGCTGGGAACCGTCGATGGTACCATAGTCAACAACTTCATGCATCGTACAGTTACCTTTCCCCCACTAGTAACGCAAAAATGATATTCAATCCACAAGTGTAGTCGCAATAGTGAAGCATGTTGAACGGTATGATGAAGCAGCACTAAACATGTTCCTTATCAGAGCCAAGTCGCGAACCACGACCAGAGAAGGCCGTGAATGTAGGACCACCAGAAACCTAGAGACACGACTCTATACATACAGGCCTGACCCCGTCATGAAGACGACTACCGAGTAGCTGCCGTAAGTAGTACTATAACGCGGACCTGTCGGTCCAGCGTTAACAGGTGCATAGCCGTCTTTGTCGGCTTCATAAACCTACGTGAGGATCATCACTAAGGACCTGCCCAGGCCGATCCCTCACCAGCCAGCACACTACAGCCACTGCGATGTCCAATACAGGCTGTGCTACGAGCAACGAATCCGCAATAGGCAATGAAAACATGGGCGCTGCCTTGACCTTGGTCAGCCTCTCAATGAGGTATAGTGTACTGACGAACTGAGGAGAATGATGCGAGATGGTACAAGTTGAAAGTACTACTCCGTTGAATCCAAAAATGAAGCCGATCATCGTAATATAGTGCAGCATCATCTCCCACTGGACCACCACGTAATAAGCCCCAACGATCCACAGTAGGCTCATAACCCCATTCACTATCTGGAGTTGGTAACTAACGACGACTGTACATGCACACACTGCGCTCTCCTGAGACCTACATGCGGATACCCGCGACAGCGAGATGGAGGAAAAGTAGACCCAAAAGGACCGGCCGATACTTCCGCCGTACAGCCTCATTTGGGACGTGCGAGCCTCCTGCTGATGGTATGGGGATCATTAGAAAGGACTTTGTGAAATAAAACTACCACAAAGAGTCCCCTTGTATGGTTAACGCAACACAGAGAGCGTTTCAACAGTGGTACACTATCACTATCCATCTACAGTAGACCTACGGGTCTAAGAGGGTAGCACTGCTCAGTGTAGGGACAACAGTCAGAGACTAGTCGCCGCCGTCCTAGAGCAAACGCGAACCTCATGTAGCAATTACTATCATAGACAACTCCTCCACGGAAAAATAATAAACAACATGTGAGCAACATTCTCAGCTGCTACTACTACTACAACTACTACCAATATCAACATACCCAAATCGTACATATAGCAGCCGCGAATCTCCATTGAAATCAACGACGCCATATAGACGGCGAACCACACATAGGTGTGACCGGCCACTTATTACTATGCGACAACCGTTTTGGTTTTTCATACAGCACAACCATAAAAGTATCATCACCGCTTCTTGAACCTCTTCCTTCATCTGTGTTTTTAAGAGATATAATTTTGGGAAAGAACCCGTTTATGAAGAGCCGTGAGGCATGTTTAGTTGGAGTGCCGCAACAGCGTCGCTATAATAGCAATAATCATCTTCTTATATGGGATTCGGTAATTAGCCACCCTAAGGCGTTATATTAACTACACCAAGGCATCAGCATTCGCATTAGTAGTAGTAATAATAATAGTAGCAACAATCAACCACGGAATTGCTGAGGATCGACAAGAGCTTTATCGTCACTAACTCCTGCGTCACGCCCCAGCACTTCACCAGTCACCGGCAATGACCAGCAACAAGATGGTTGGCCTCTGCATATCAGCTCATCGTAGACAAAAATGAGACAGGTTGGCTTCCTCGCTCAGCAGGCGTCCAAGACCGATCCAGCTAGTCGAGACGAGGGCGAAGGCAATGGATGATATGACCGGAGCCACGTCTCCGGACCGTCACCACTTGGAAAATTCCTCACTACGCAGTGCGGAGAAGTACCCACCCCTCCCATGGCGCGTGGGAGGGGAGGAAAAGCCTTGCCACTAATGGACCAGAGAGAGCAGTATTACTAGTAATGTTAACAGGACCGCCCAAGACCAGACTCATAGTCACGATAGTGCCGTCCATAGAATAGGCAGCTAACTGCCATCCAAGTGCAGGAGACCAGTAGTAGTAGTACTGACGGGAATATGAGACAAAAACGCGCAAGCAACCTTGAGGAGGAGGAGGGCCATCAGATAGAGCACCCAAGAGCAATGGTACGGTATTATTAGTATTTTTGGATAAACGAGTCGCTAGAGTAGTACTACCTACCCCGACCAGCTACTGAGTAACAGACGAAGCAGGAGAGGCCAGCGACTCTGCAGAGCTCTCTGGTGGTGTGTCACCATTACTACTCTGGCCAGCCACAACACGTCTCAGACCTTCCGCACTGAACTTCCGCACTTCACGGTCGGATTCCGTAGAAGTCTGGGAATACCACTGCTGAAGGACCACTTGCCGTACGAGGCCCATATCCACGAATGCCCGGTAGATACCGGCAACATCCTTGGACGGCAGCCGGGCATCGTATATGGCACCAGCGAGGGACTCTATGAGCCGCTTCTGGTTGTGGAGTTCGCAGTTGTTAGGGCTACCGACACCAGTCTCAGTTCCCGTACCACAAACCGTACGTAGGAGGCTCTCCGCAGGCTTCAGCCGTACTGTCCAAGAGTCCTTCGACCATGCCAGACGCAAGTTTGATATCAACGCTGAAATCACTCTCCGTTCGAATAGTGCGTTTTTACCACCGAGCAAATCACCCGAGGCCTCCTCGTTCATCAACTGCGTTGCCGCGTCAAAATCTTTGCCCTTTAGGGCAGCACCGAGCTTGTCGAGCAAACCCTCCGTCTCGTCCTTCAAAAGGCCCATCTCTTCCAGCATCTCATCCAGGTCCTTGTCATCAGAGGGCTCCAAATGCTTCATCCTCTTCATCAGAGGACGAAGAAAGTGCAAACCCTTGTGGACACCAGGGACACCGGCAATGCGCTTTGCTTGCTCCAAAACCTTAACGGCAAGATCGAACGACCGTTCATCAGAACCCAGGACCTTCCAAGATAGGATTAGCTGTGGATCGAACTCGCTAGGTTCCTCCGCTACAGAGTAATCACCAACTAGTAGCAAGGCGAATAGCCTATGGTAGAACTCTGGTGCTTTGGGGAAGTCCATAGCCACGTCATCCAGAACCTCGAGGAAACCTCGCAAAACCAGGTTCAATACCTTGAAGGGGATAATGCCACGGCGGACCAACTCAACGATGAGCTCAGCGTCCTTAAAGGCCCCACGTGGGTCCTCTGCGCCCCAGTTGACCAGATTCTCAGCCATCTTGGATGGACAGCTCGGGTCGTTCTGGACCATAGCAGTGACGTCGTTGAGGAAGGATTTCAAATCACCATCTTCACGGAAGTAGTCCCGAGAGTTCTTGAATTTATCGACCTTGAAAGCTCGTGCTTCCTGTAGCTCCCTCTCCTTAGCCTCCTTCTGCTCCTTCTTCTCAATGGCAAGTTCATCCATCTTCCGTCGGGCCTCATCCAGCTTGGCCTGCCGCTTAGTGTCCTCTTGGCCCTGTAGGGTAACAGACTTCACCGCTTTCTTGCTTCTACCCCCAACAGGATTGCCCTTGCGGTCCACCCAACCACGACTCCTGTTATCGATGAGATCCTGGATCATAAACTTGAGCCTACTAGGGTAGTCCAACCTCTTGATATCCCTCAATCGTCTGATGAACGCCGTACACATATTGCGCCCACGATCGTACTGGTCTAGGGTGGACCCAATATTCAGCAATAGGATGCAAACACATTCAATGTAGTGCTCCTCGGGCTCATCCGACCGGAAAATAAGTTGACCAACGACCTCCTTGATAACCTTGGCACTCAGTAGTTGACGTAGGAAGAGTTGCCCAATAAACTTCATGTTGCCCAGAATACGTTCCTTCTTCTTGGAGCGAATGACCTCCAACTCTTGAGCATCACCATTGGCCTTGGCCTCCTCCTCGGGTGTCGGAGCTAAATCCACTGGCAAGGCCTCGAACTCCTCTTGGCACTTAGTAATAAGAGCTCTTGTGAAGGTCATAGGCTTGTTAATATCGTCACCCTCGAACTCTGGCAGCACCCGGCGGAGTTGCATACACATGTCAGAATAGATCTCGCAGTAGTAGCTCTCCTGAATGGCCTTGTCGAAGATGGTCCGTACCACTAGCTCCAGCTTCCAACCTTCATCTATCTGAGACAAAAAACGTGATGGTAGAACGACAGAGGACGTGCGCCCGACTTACCCCTAGCTCGGCCAAACTAGCAGTGACCTGCATGAAGTTCTCAGCAGTGATACGGTTGAGGTTGGACATGACCAGACGATGGAGCTTCTCTTGAGGGGATACATCCTCAAGCTTCGCTGCCACCTTGTAGCCGTGCTCAGTAACCTTCAATGGGACCACTGGGGCGTTGGACCGTTTATACTGCTGTCGACTCTGCTGACGATTGTACTTATCCCGCATAGCCTGCGGACCGAGCATGTCCTTGCGCCAATCACCACTGCCCAAGTGATGACCACCACCGCCACCATAACCCTGCGGGCGTTGGCCCATCATACCCTTGCTGGTCGTTCTTCTCAGGCCGCCGCCGCCGCCAGTACCACCACCTGGTTGCCGTACTTGACTGGTGCTAGCAACAGAAAGGGTAACCAGTTGTGGCGGAGGGGTCTCATCGGCGAAATCGATCGGCCGCGTATCCCCCCGAAATGCCTCGGTCGCCGGAGCCACAAGGAACATACGGAGGAGGTCGTTGCGTGATAGAGGACCGGAAAAAGGAAGGGGCTCGGAAAGCGATTCCTAAGAACAACAGGAATTACGGCAGAATTCCACAACTAGAACACCTATACCTACCTCACTAGACTGAGCTGATGGAGTTTCCTCGCCCTCAGTGAGCTCCTCAGGGACCCCAGCAGCCTTCAGTGGTTCGCCCTCAGACGAACTGGTCTCCTCCCAACTGTCCTTGTCCTTCGAGGCAGCCTCAGTCTCGGGGGTTGGCACCGAGGAAGTGATGACTGCCGCCGACTCTGGGAGACCCTCCTGCTCATGCTCCCCTGGCACAGTAACCGGCTGTGGAGCCACGACTGGACTGGGGTGGACGGCTGAACGGTC